ATCCCTCCTCGTTTGTGTTGATTTCGAATATATAGATAAACAGTATACTTGTGTGTATGTGTATTCAGCCCTTTTTACGTCCCACTGCTGGAATAGATGCTATAGTCCACAACGCTGGCCAAGTGCGGGTTAGCGGGCTTCACATGTCTTTCGAAAACTTGCTAGGTTTTCTCAGATTTCCTTTACAGTAAGACAAGTGGTAATCATGTTAGAAATGATTCGCACATGAAAATATCAAATGTGCGAGACCCTGGATTTGAACCCGCTTCAATCGGTTTCCCAAGCGAGGTCGTTACTACTGGGCTACCACTGCCTTACTAAACACTATGCTTACTTACAACAATTTACATAATAAATCAAACATCTTATTGACTATTTACACTTTCTTGATATTACCTACAAAGAAGTAAAGTTTGTAGGGAAAATTCTTTAACTAATATGGATCTGCATTTCGTCCAAGTGCTATGACGAATTTTTCTGCTATTCCGATATTAATAAAGGTTTTTATTGTTAGAAATTTATACCTTTAATTGAAGTCCGAAAAACACTGGCCGTTGAATTGTTTTATCGGTATAGGCTGTCTAAACGGTTTAAATAAAGCAAAAAAACATAAAAAAAATACCGACTTCCAGGCACTAAAATGTAAAAAATAACTAAACGGGGGTTTTCATTTATCATTTAATAGATACCTACCTAATCAGATATTTTCGAAGTTGGTGCCAGCCGATGCAAAGCAAATCTATACATATCATATAATAAAATTGTAACTAAGCCGAATCTGTACATTAGATATTTTTTGGAAAATCTAATTGAAATAGACATTATTATCGATGCAGAGTCCGAATCTATAGTTTTTAGATTTTTTGTCTGTCTGTCTGTTGCCGCATCACGAGAAAAGCACTGGACAGATTTTGATGAAATTTGGTATGATGACAGCTGGTTATCTGGGTCAACATATAGGATACTTTTAACCCCGGGAAAATATCTCATTTCTAAGAAAAAATACAAAAACTACATTCTAAGAGTATACTAATATGTAAAGCCTAAGAATTTGGTTTTTGGTCATCTGAACGCGGGCGGAGCCGCGGGCAATGCTAGTCTAATATATTTCGATACGTAAAACACATATTTACCTATTATATCTTAAAATATGGTAGGTTTCGATAAAATTAATATGGGGCGGCCATCTGGGAAGTATACCCTTTGAAACAAAAAAATTCCAAATCGGTTCAGGCGTCTTCGAGTAATCGGTGAACATACCTACATAAAAAAAAGATTCCGACGAATTGAGAACCTCCTCCTTTTTGGAAGTCGGTTAATAAAATGTATGGCAAAAAGGCACCTAGGGACGCACCCGAGCGAAGTGAGAGTAAGTCGCTACTTAAATATAAAAGGCTGTTCTCTTTCTTGATTGCTTCCCTATGAGCAACATCTTCAAACAGAAAACAAATGAACTATCGTAAGTTCGATCTTAAGTACATATAAAGGAATGTACTTATGTTGTGAGAAATTTGTAGGACTAGGCACTCTGTGCAGGCCTTTCTTCGATGAGCTTCAACATATACAGTACAACATACGTTGCTTAAAGTTTATCATACTCTAGTATCTACTTGTGACAATTTTTATGACCTAAAACTTATAGGCAGCAGACAGCGAAAAGAACTTCGTTCCTAGCGGGTGTCCCACGACACTTCTCGACATTTTTTTGATTTTATCTACTCCATTTTTTAAAAATTAGTGGAGAAGGTTATCGGATGTAATGTTTACAACTTTAGAATCTTAAATAACTCGGCTAATGATGGGTAAATTAAAAAAATTTAATAAAAACATTTATCTACCTTAAACTACTAAGAAAGTATTTATCTTTATTTTGATTTTTTTCGCTATTTATTAGTTACTAGCAGAACCCACGGCTTCGCTCGCTCTAAAACTACAAAAAACTCTAAAAAGGTACGTTTGACACAAACTAAAATGAAATGAAAACTGGGATGAATGTCGAAAAATGCTAAAACACGTACTTATTTAATTGTATTGAAGAGCATTAATACCGAGTTTCAAGTAATTCTGTTCATACATTTTTTTTGGGTTGTACTTTAACGTGTTTTCCCTTAGGAATAAGATAATATCCCTCGGTAAAAAGTAGACTACGTCACTTTCCAACAAAAAATCACATGATGTGAAAGAAGGACAAACAAACAAACACACTTTTATATTTATTTGCTATATAATAACTTTTTAGACCTTACGTTAATTTTACATTAACTAAGACTAAAAAGTAAAAAAAGAACACTACAAAATACTATAAAAATAAAAACCCGACTGCATAAAAGCTAACTTAAAAGATGAAAACAAGCTCACGAAGGAATATAGTATTATGCAGTCGGAGACTAAATGGTGTCACAAAGGTACAAACCCACATACATAGGCTGTTAAACACATTACCCTCCTTTGCGTCGCGCAGTCGGAGAAAAATAGATTTTAATTATGTATAGGTACACTAACTAATATATATATGACTAGCGACTTACCCTCGCTTCGCTCGGTTCGGGTCGGGACAGACCGACAGACAAAAAATTTAAAAACTAAAGATTTGGCCTCGGTATCGATAATAAATAATAATAACTCAGTTAGAATTTGATTAAGTATGTATATGAATAGATGTTGATTACTTAGTCTTAATATGGGTTTAACGAAAGGATATGTGTTGTAGATATCTTTTTAGATCACGGTAAGAAAGTAGTCAAGGATTTGCCTAACTATTTACTTAAGTTTTATGACCAAGGTTTTATAATCTAATCGATAGCTTACACCTTAATGTTTTATATAGTGACTAATTGAAAAAACGTGACTTATAAAGGAGTGTAAAGAAATTTAGCACCTATTCGTACTAAGTAAATAGTAATACATATTAATTTCGGGATCAACAAAATGTAGAGTTCGGTACATCCTTATATAATATATTATGTTTAATATTGTCATTATTTATGTAATATATGTATAATGTTTTTACCAATATCAAAGTGATCTTGGGATATTTTTTTCAAATAATTTAAATTTTAAACTGATTCTATAAATGTAACGTTAACGCACTGACTCCTTTTTCTTAAAATATTGCGTTGGCATAAACTAGAAACAATAAATAAAGACTACTTATAATAGACAAATAACATTAGCCAATACTTTTGTCATAGTTATAAAACTTTTCATGTTAAGTAAGGTGAACGTCCGCAGATTGCTCTTGTAGTTTTTTTAAGCAAAATTTGGCTGGCTGCGTCGTGTGACCATAACACTTTCTCCTCTCATTTAGACAAAATGTCTATATTTATTGTATAATTTAACTTGTTTCTCTTGCGGTCGAAATTTAATGTAAGAATTAAAGGGAAATTTAATCGATCGAGTTGAGATGTTTTGCCCGAAAAATATTATACTATTTTTTCTTACAAATTATTCAAATATTTATATTATTTGCAAGAATTTGTTATAATAATAGTTTGTTTCTTTTATTAATTTAAAATGTCTGCAAATATAAATAAACAATTAAAGAAAACTACAGAAAAGTAGCTGATAAACGAATTAGGGAGATTTTTCATTGAACTTTCTTCCTGCACCTATTACTAAGTATGCTATGTATATGTAACACCACTCACCGGCCATCGATCTGTCATTATCTAATAATTTATTACATCACCTATTATTATACAACTCCTCCACTATTGACATTCGTTTATTCACACTTTTCAAATCTGCGACCATCAGTAATTGACCATTAGCGTGGGTTTATTATCCTAACATATTTTTGTGAATTGAATTATGAATGAAAATTTCTATCTGAGTAAAGCTATGTGTAATTCATTATATTTATAAATATAAAATAACTAAGTTTAAATTTTTTAAATTACTAATTAGATATTAGATAGATTACAGTATATACTACTAATACAGGAAGCATTTTAATTTTATATTAATTAAAATTTCATTCGCGTTTACTTTTTACTTTTAAGAGATTTTTTTGAAAGTTCTAATATACATTATATGCAGCATTAAGACGAGGAGTAAATTAAATTATTTATTAACAATTAGACATAACTACTAGGCACTGGTCCACTCTTTGCTCTATAATTTCATAAAAAGTATTATAAGCATATACCTATATATTTAGTTGTTGGTATGAATATTGATCAGATTTTGTAATATTTATTGAATTTCAATTATTCGCATTTGTGTAGTATATAAAATTTTTATTGATATAATATAGTATATCAATATAATTTTTTTTCGCTATTAGTTTTTAAAGTAATTTTCTTTATTATATTTCTTAAAAGGAGTATAGTACATTTGTTAAAAGTACATTTGAAAAAAATCAAAATCGGTTTATATATGTAATAGTGAAGTGGTTTCTAATTCATAGGCGGATTCTACTATGGAAACCACTCTGATAGCACCCCCTAAAATTAATTCTGCCCGCGGCGCTCAGGCTATGCATGCATATAGGTATTTTATTTATATTTGACAGACATTAAATAGGTACTAAAGATGAACTATAAAGTGGCATTTTTTCCAAACAACTTCTCAATTCGTCAACTTTCCAAATAAAACAAGTCCCAGCTCACCATGCCAAGCAGTCTCACGCCTCAGACACCTTATATAATGATTAATTTTAAAAGTAATTAGCTTATATGTACAGTTTGAGAGGTCATTAATCTTTAACTTATATTATATAATACGTTTCGGTACTCATATCCGTCTGTACATTATTATTTATTATGCGCTTGAAAGCATTAAGTGCAATCGTAACCGAAAAATAATAATTCGTACTTCAATATACTTTCATATTAATTAAATAACATTTGAATATATTCTTGTGTTATATATTAACTCTTGTAATATAGTATCTATGTATTAAAAATATATAATATGCGTTGGGTTTTTTAAAATTTAGAAGAATAAGATATCTTAACAAATAAAAATGTATTGAAAATATATTAACAAATCATTTTTTACTCATATAATTTACAATCTTTATGTTTTTGTTCACAGACGTCGCTCTTTGCATTGATCTCTTCGCTTGTTGGTAAATGTCGATACAAGAAAGCAGCGCCACGCAATTCTTTATTTATTTTGTCATTTTCCTCACTAAAAACAGTTTCTTGCATTTTGTTTATGAAAGGAGTTATTTTACAAACTAAAAGCTGAATGCAACTAGTCTCTTCATCTGATTTTTCCTTAATTAAATCTTCTATTTGTTTTGGTAATGAGTCATTTCTAGCAACTTCTATAAGATCTTGCAGCCTTCGTGAGTTTTTACTAAGAATCCAGGTTGTAAGATCCTCTGATCTGTATGGTTTGTTCGGGTGTCTCGGTCCGGCTAAGAATGTAGTAATCTAAAAAAGAGATTAATTACACTCTTTAAAGTTTTGAAAGATAAATTAAAAATTTAACAAACGCCCTACGCAAATTGTCATTTAACGATTACACTGGCACGCGTTAAGCACTTAATCGAGTGATCATACGCCAAAATGCCTTACATCATTTTGAAAAAGAGCTGATACTCTTTTACTGCTGGACCGATATCAATAAAACATAGTTAAGAACCACTGCAAGGAAACTGGCTTTCAAATGAAAAAAACCGCATCGAAATCAGTTCATCCGTTTGAGAGCTACGATGCCACAAACTGACATCGACGTCAAACTTATAACGCCCCTCTTTTTGCGTCGGGGGTTAAAAATAAGGATTGACGCGAGGCAATGGCACAAGTATAGCAGCTTAATTAATTTCAATGGATGGTGGAGAATCCAGTTAAAAATAATAAAGGCTAAAAGTAAATAAGTAAGTATATACATATAATATAATTGACTACGTTATGATACACAGAATGCAAAATATAGATAATAACATAAAAAAGCGTAAAATATAAGCAATAGGCAGTACCAAATACTATATCTACATTCTACAACTACTTATAAACAAGAATTTTGTATGTTTGTAACGAAGAAACTCAAAAACTACTGGATTTAGATGGGGCGAGGTTTGAAAATATAATGGGTTGGATGGGTGGGTTCGACTCCGGCCTCTCATGTTTTTAGCATATGTATATATTATCTTAAAATCAACTAAAAGGTACTAGGTAGTGTAGGCAAAGAAATATATAAAAGTTAATTTATCACCATTTGAGCAACAAATATAAGTGCGTTGACGGCAACTGCGCTTATTTGATTCGGCTGAAGTCCCAAAAGACGTACTAAATGTCGCAACGGAGAGAAATATGGAACTTCGTTCATATTATAGTTCTGTTTTACTTCATCCGCATAATTCTCATTACTTTGTTCATTTTGAAAGGTATCAGTATGTGGATGCCTCTTTGCCGAGGATTTTGGCTGGAAAGCACGAACAACAAAATCAGCCACTTTTAATGCAACTGATTCGGAACCTGTAAAATAAATGTATCTAATATATTATGTATCTAATTGTATTATTCTTATTACTATATAAATATAAATGCGGAAGTTTGGATGGATAGATGTTTCTTACTCTATCACGCTAGAACGGCTGAACAGTGAACTGATCTGGATGTTTGGCAGTGATAGATTATTGTCTGGAATAGCACGTAGGCTACTTTTTATCCCGGAAAAATGTACGGTTTCCTTAGGATAGATTTGTTTTTCTTTTTCACTAGGGACAAACCCAAACCAAGCGGGGGTGAGCCACTAGTTTTTAATTTTTATTAAGTGTATTTTTTATGATTGCTTAACTTTATTTTACTGATGATAGAACTACTGAATATTTATTTTTGGTCAATTTGATCATAAAAGCTACAAGATTATTTTTGATCAAACAAAGGAAAGTTAATAATATTTTAATTAGAACGTGAGTACAAAAAATAAATTCCTACCTTAATTTAAAAAAAACACAACTAGGTAATTCGATAAAAATCTAAATTGAAAAATTAAGAAAAAATACCTATCTTAAAATTGAAAAGTAAGCGTGAAATATATTCGATAGTTTCGATTTTATCTATTTATTTAAATCTTAACTATTTATTTAATTGTTTATTATTATATTAGTAGGAAAATGATTAAATTACTACAATAAACACTATTTTTAGCAATTTTTTTTTAATTTTAAAATTAAAATACATATATAATCAATTTATTATTTAACATTATAAAATAAAAAAATATTTTTAAATATTATCATTGAATCAAAAAAATATATAATACATACCCAAAAAGTCCTTAGCAAATTTAATCCCACTGTTTAAATGGTGTAAAATGCTATCGCTCCTGTAGTTTTCATTTCCTGCAACGAGCTTTATTAAAATGAAGTAAAAGACCAGTGACGCCATCTTAGGAGAACGCACAATACTACAATAGCGAAGTGTACGCTGTGCTCGTAGTTATGGTTCGATACCTGGCGTAATCGCTGCGCAAGCGCATATCAGTAGAGCATAAAAATTATGTGACATTATTTTCACACAGTACAGGAGGTTAATTTAAGTATATTTTATTTATGTATTGATATAATTCAAAAATGAAAACTGAAAATCGATTAAGACTGCTTGCTTTTAACACCTTTAAATTTTAAAGTATTAAGTTTGTTTCTACAATATGTTCATAGATGTCAGTACTAGTATCAACAGTAATGTGTCTAGATTCTAAGTTAATTTTTATCATGGAGTAACTTTTAAGTAATCTGTGTTTAGCTTTTTGTAAAAGAAAAACTGAATTTTTGGATAAGAAAAATAGCTACATCTCTATGAAATAATTTAATTTTTAATGTTATATGAGTTTCATAAACACAATAAAATACATAATAATTTAAAAAATATGCATAATAAAAAATAAAAATGTAACTAATATGAAGAAAGTTTTATTCCTTTATTTGCATTAATATTCTAAAAGCGTAAAGTTTATGCGTTAGCCGGGGAATAAAAGAAAACTCCTAAAATTACAGATCTAAATTCTAAAAATTTCTTACTTTATTGGAAGGTTATCTTTTTAAAGTTTGAAATTGCCTTTACGCATACCACCTGCATCAACATACAGGTTATGGAGATCTTTTGGCGAGAATAGCCAGTACTTCCAATTAAAATTAAATAGCACCTCTCCCGTCGTAATGGCACCGCAGGATCACTATACACTTAACCACGACGCCTCGACGGTTGGCCTACCGAGACAGATCTCCTCCAAAACAATAAAACTGACTGCCCCCCGATGCATCTCTTCGGCTTGTCCTTTTTTGGGATTGTGGCTAATTAATTCATTAAAAGTTTTAAAACTTACTGAGGTTGTTTACCTCTCTGTCCACGTCTAATATTAGAGAAGTATCAGGAGCAACACGCATAGAGTACCTCCCGCCCACTACTTAGCCTTGTGTAACATAAACTATTTTTTTTTGTCCCGGTAAGAATTTACACAACAAAAAGACAAACATAGTTTCGCTTTTTATATGAAGTGTTATTGCAGTAACTCATGGGTAACATGCTCGTTTGGAAAAACTAGTGATGTGGGTTCAAGTCCTGGGTCTCGCATCTCAGAAGTGTCCATAAGTGAATACCAGTCTTAATAGGAATGCCACTTGCTAGCATGGTGAAGGTTCTGTCACGGTAATGTTACATACAGTATTCCATCTTCATACAAAAGGTCGGAAATCGAGTTATATCTACGCGCGTCGCGTTCGGTATACACTCGGTAGACAACCGTGCGGGGCTGCCACATCGTATAATTTGATACGAAAATTTTATAAAATGGTTATGTTATGTAACTTTTATAATTGGATACATAAATAAACATTTTATTCCTCCCGTAAATTCGCTATTATGTCAAACAAAAAAGTATCGTACATCACATCGTAAGTTTTAAAAATAAAAACTAATTAAATAAATTAAAAATAAAAATTAAAGTATTTTAAATTATTTTTTTTATCCGAATGCGGATTCTTTATACTATTCAATTTAACAATAAAGCTTTTCTTATGTCTCAGTCGAGGTGCAAATATTTTTAAATCTCAAATTTATAAGGGTCACATAATAAATTTGAGATTTTTTAATTAAATCTAATAATAATATTTTTTAAATAAAATATATAATATTTGAAATCACAAAACTAGAAAGAAACTCAAGTAGGTAGATGAAATTAAAATACTGGCCGGCGGGCAGCCCTGTCGCGTGGGTACGTGACGTTCGGCTGTAGGTAATTATTTCAACGACAGGCCCGAGTTGGAATACTGTATGCGTAATGCATTGTATTACCGTGGTTCTGTTCTGTCTCTTCAGTTTGAGAAACTTGTAAGTAGTTTTAATGAAAGATATGTAAAGTCTGCCTACTCACATTTGTTTAGAGGGGGACATGGGGGTTTAGAATAATAATATTCCTACCTCGTATTTAGGGAAGTTTTTGGCCCAGCTGTGGGATGTTAAGGGGCTTAATAAGAATGTAAGATAAAGTAGGATATATGAGAGTTATTTGAAAAAGTTGCATTTTCTAAAACACCCTGTGTACATTCGTTTTCTTAGATTAAGATATACGAACAATGGAGAGCTATGATGTGGAAGGTAGGAAAAAGTAACAAGCTTGCGTAATTTTTAAAGTAAACCAATATTAGATACATACATAGTTGCTTTTTTTTGGTTGACATGTAAGGCTTAAAACTGAGTTTTCAATCTTTATAATAATTAATAATATCATAAAGAGTTTTATTTAATTAATAAGAAGATACTAATATAATTTATATATTCAAATAACAAAATATCTACATAGTACTTGCTGCTTTTGCAGGAATATTAAGTAAAACAATAATATTACCAACTTATTTAAAGGAACCGCTAGTTGACTGTTGCGCTTAGTAGACCATAATAATCTCTCGTATGATTGTGATAATTTCCTCACCATATTCCTACTTCAGTTCTTCGACGACATCACCACGCTACAATGTTGGCTTCTTTTATATTATGTTCATTGATGCAAGTGATAACTGCTGACATGACCACAGAAGAGGTTCAATATCTTAACGAATTGTCCATTAACAAACTGTTACAACTCAAGAGCTCATTGACAGATTTTTCTACTGAATATAGCAACGAGACAGAAACAACACCTGCTTACATTGAACATTTTGGAGCACAAGCGATGGCTTTCAAAGCACCGCCGATAAAGAGGATGGAGTACGAAGAAGGCTTATACAAAAAGGGCGGATACGGAAAAATAAGCCACATTTTTTCAATATCGATAACTGCTCTAGCTTTTTTAGCATTTGGTGGTTATTTACTATGTCTTATAGTACAAGCAGTGAAATCTAAACAAAATACAATCGTCACAACTCCAACTCCGACCTTCTTCGTTAATGCAGGGATCAAAAAGCCTCAGAATACTTTTAACTCTTACGGACGACGAAAAATTCAAAAAAGGGAATTGAATGATATCGATGTGCCACCTGAGGAATTGTTTACAGCATTATTACAGTTATGCGAGGGCTACGCAAAATGGAGCAAAGGCATTGAAAATGTACAATAACAGCAATATATTAAATATATTTACTTATCAAAAGTGTAATACATAAGAAGCCATTTGTTTTAAATTGACGGTAATTGGAACATTATTTTGAATAGTATACATATGTAAATTTTGTTATTATAGAGTGGTTAACATAAAACTTGGTAGTCATCTCTGTTTATTGTGTACTAAATAACGTCTGATTATAAAATTTCGTTACACTAAATTACCAATTAATTTTCAGAGAAAACGCGGCAAAGCAGTGTTTACATTAAAAGCAGGAAGCCAGATTGCCCCGCAATATACCTACAATCTGTAAACGTTTTCAAACTGTCAAATAATCTTGCTAACACCTAATAATAGCTGTATCTCCGTTTTAAAGATGCTATTGTATCATCCACTCGAGATTCGCTCGATTCTCAATTACGAGGAAAGTGGATTTAATGTGATATTAATAGGGTGTGTTTTAGGTTAAACACTGTTAGTTTTTATGATATTTTGGTTGGCGGTGTAGAAGCTGGTAATGAGGGGATCTGCGGTGGATCTGTCATCAGGAGAGATCTACTGTTTACAGACCGGCACCAACGTACTTCGTTAAAACATATTAACGCACAACGCCTCTCATTTTTTAAAATATTTTTTGTAATGTGTACCGATTTACAAAGAATATTATGTGAAATTTAACATCTGTTAGCAATGAAATTGTTTCAGCGCTATATAGACGATGTGTTTATAATACTTTTATGTAAGTAAGTATGAAAATAAGCTAAGCATACCGTTGTAATTTTGATTATATTACAAGAAATATTTATATAAATAGTTTAAACCTAATACGTATCATTTGTTATTATTTTATGCCCTACTTTTATTATATCTTATTATGTATATGAGTATAGATTGTGAATATTTAAACTAAGCATAGTAGCTATAATTTTTTATATTAGTTTATATTATACTTATTATGTCAAATGCATGTAGCCAAATAAAGTACCTAGGTACCTATGTAAATTGTAGATAAACCTATTTCTAACGAAATTTTTTGTACGATAACTATTGTATACTTACTTTATTTTTTCCCAACATATGAAAAAAAGTATTTAATACTGTTTGTTTAGTTAACTCTGGGTTAAGTAAAGTATTTTGACGGGCCATTGGACATGGAACATTGACGGTATAGATAAGAGCTTGCGCTCTACACATGCGATTTGGTGATGATTTGTTACAAGTTGCTGGGAACAGTAATCTCTCAAGTGTTTACTTAAACATTATTTAAAACATAAATTAAGCTACATTCAAATATTTCACAGGGTTGATGCGTAAATATTTTTTAAAGAGTTCGTATATGAATCTCGTTAGTTTATGTTAGCGGTTTTGTAACTTTAGAAAATATAAATAAGAAATTAACGTGTATTACCCATACTGAGTTTATAAATTTAGGATACTTTTAAAGATTTAATTATCGACGAGGTAAGTTTAGACTAAACCATAGAGTATATTGCTACATATATAAACTATAATTACTTTTTAACTAAAAGGGTACACTGATTTCAAAATCACTGTATTTTTACCTTTACAGCTGGAGTTTCTTTATGAAATTTCTATAAGACGAAAGAGTCGTCTTATATAAATTTCATGAAAAAAATCCAGGTATAATCTCATTAAGAAAATCAGAATAAGTGTTATTATTAGAGATAGGCGATATTGGTGGTACTTATTTCCAGTATAATGTGTAAGTATTATTTGTTTACATAAAATATTCTACAAATTACGACCGAATGAAACATATTCTACCTACTTCTTAAATAAAACTATCTTTTCGGAATTTTTCGCGAATTTATTTTAAATTTTTGTCAAAATAAATTCGTGAAAAATACCAAAAAGATAGTTTTATTTAAAACTAGCATTGCCCGTGGCTCCGTCCGCGTTCAGATGACCAAAAACCAAATTCTTAGGTTTTACTTATTAGTATTATAATGTAAGGGATATTGCAGTTTTTGTATTTTTTCTCATAAATGAGATATTTTCCCGCGGTTAAAAGTGTAATGTAGGATTACATGTTGACCCGGATAACCAGCTACATCAAAATCACTCCAATAGTTTTTCTGTGATGCGGTAACAGACACACAGACAGATAAAAATTCTAAAAACAATAGATTCGGCCTCTGTATCGATAATAATGTCTATTTCAATAAGATTTTCCAAAAAATATTTAATGTACAGATTCGGCTTAGTTACAATTTCATTATATGCATAGATGTCAAATATTCGCGTAAACATTCTACTTCTTTAAAACTGATTCATTTAAAATTCATGCAACCTCCAAGCCTTTTAAGTCGCAATACTCATGTTGTATTTTGTCATTTATTTACTGTATGATTTTTAAATTGCACTTCTACGTCCACTAGATTCCCTATTCGAAAGTAATTTGCTGAATACCCTCGTTTGCGGTTAAAGCATTTTGGAAATAGGACTAATGAAATACAGAGCGTATTTCTTGCAAACGGGAGGGAGACTGGAAAAAAATATTATTTTCGCTATGGCTAAGGTTATATCTTATTTTTTAAATATTATTATTCTATACTTTGAACAGTAGTCATCTTTAATAAATTTATTATAAGTGAATTTAGACAAGAAAATCGTCTACAAAACATATTTACATAATCTAATCAATTTAAATGTATTGAAGACTAAAGCAACTATATACCTACTGCAAATTTATTCATATGGACAATCTTATAATCAGTACAAAATTAAAAGCTCATAAATTACATTGTTTTAAGTTTTAAATGATAAAGAGAACTAGCTCGAGGGGTCTTTAGCTTACGAAGCAATTTACATCAACGAGGCTATTGAATGAATAACAATCAGAATGAATATATTTTTGTTTTTTATTGTAATTTATTACTAACTTTGCTTAGAGACAGATCACTTCGATACTATGTATATTGTTGTCTCAGATATAGAAAAAGAATTTATAACCGACGTTTTACCTGGTCAAAAAATATTTAAGGTTAAGTATATTGCCCGATTTCACCAATATCTCATAAGCTACCACTTACGTATGGGATCCCTAGCTTAAAAGTTCCCCTAAATTAGACCCTAAATTAAATTTCGTTTTACCATCGTCAGAGCCCGTATTTCTAGTACCTATATTTAGGTGGCATTTTAACATTTTAGTGACCCCTAACTGACGGTGAAACAGAAACTGTCTCCTAAAACAGCCCCCTAACCATGCTTAGGGGACCCCTTAAACTTAGGTGACGTTGGTGAAATCGGCCATATTATAACTTTCAAAATACAAAGTTTATATAAAAGTAGAGCAAGATAAATACACATATTTTAAGAAATGTAAGCGTAAGACTAAGCAGTATAAACATTGTATTTTTATATGTAACACTACACTTTTAATTAAAGATTATGTTTTTAACCTGAGGTGCAAACTAATACTGCGTCGGCTAAGTTCACAAGTTGCTCATTCACATTATCGCAACAATATTCTAAGAAGTGAATTTAATATTTTGTTATATTAAATAGAAGTTACTTGAATAAAAGACAGCCTTAAAATCGAGATTTCCTTGTCAGATTCCAACTAAAACAGATAGCTATCGTCCTACAATGCACTTTATTACTATTATTGCCTATATTCGCGTTAATGCGACATAAATGGAAACAAAATGGCATTTAGGTCAAAGGTTTACGATGGTCGGCCTTTAAACTAAATTGAATTTGACTGAAATCGCCTCGTAAAGGAACTCGAGTCGTGATTGCAGTCGTTGGATCCACAGTGTTAAAACAGAAAAGCTTGTACAATAACTTGTCAAAGTGGGTATCTAAATAAGTACCTACTTATGTTTATTAAAAATGCTATCTTATAAGATTACAAATTGATTTTATAAAGCGACAGTACATGTTAAAGTTTATAAATTTTTAATGAACAAACGATAACACATTTATAACATTGTGAAAAATATTACAGAAATGGTAAGATTTTAATACAAGAATATTGTTGAGGACAATAATTTGAAGTCAGTTTAGAATTGTAAGGGCGTAAAAGCAAGTGGGCGCTTAAAACTATTATGTATTTGTAAGCTTTTTGAGCTGTTTACAAGGAAATACGAGTATTCTTTGACTATCATAAATATTTAATATTTATTATAAATAGTATAACGCTTCTCATAGCAAACCGTTATTGGCTATGCATTATGTACTCGACTAATGACTAGTTACTGTCCGTACATGTGTATACACTTAGAGTTTACATTAAGAAACTTACAATAAATATCTCAAGCAACAAAATACATCGCGCACTCTGTTGACAAATCCCGCAATAAAATATAAGCATTTACAATAAAATTAATTATTATTTACACGACACGGCTGGCCCGAGATATGACGTTAGCACATCGTGGACATAACTCGACAAAATTTAAAAAAAAAATGTGCGATCATCTTTCATAGGCTTTAACGAAGTTGATTATACCATTACATTTAGTTATTTTTTAATTAGGTACTTAACAACGTGTACTGATAGAAAGTAGATTTCTCAATTCTCGTCAAAAAGAGTACCTACTCTTGGAGATCTGAGCTTAAGAATAAGATTTAATTACTCCAATATGAAGATTTTACTTCAGATCTTTTTTAAACCTTATTGTTGGACACAGGCAAATTTGAAGGCAATGCGAGGTGGATTAGGTTTTAAGTTCCACTTAGCTGGCCAAGTGCGGGTTGGCGGACTTCATGTGTCCCGAAAATTAGTTCGGTTTACTTAGAGATGCAGGTTTCCTCACGATGCTTATCACATCGGAAGGCGTGGTCGCGTCGAAGGAAAGAGTGGTAACGTATTGAAAATTCACGCATGAAAATATCTAACGTAAGACCCGGTATTAGAACTCGTAACACTAGATTTTCAAACGAGTGCATTACCACTGGGCTACCACTGCTATCAAGATTAGGTAGGGGTAAAAACATTATAGAGTATTATATAGATTTAAAAATATATTGGTATGTCCACATGATGA